GTTTCTCTATCTTTATAGTTTCTCTTATACTTTATAGTTTCTTCTATTACTTTTATAGTTTTTCTATAATTTTATAGTTTTCTATACTTTTATAGTTTCTCTATACTTTATAGTTTCTCTATACTTTTATAGTTTTCTCTATACTTTTATAGTTTCTCTATACTTTTATAGTTTCTCTATACTTTATAGTTTCTCTATACTTTTATAGTTTCTCTATACTTTATAGTTTCTCTATACTTTTATAGTTTTCTATACTTTATAGTTTCTCTATACTTTTATAGTTTCTCTATACTTTTATAGTTTCTCTATACTTTTATAGTTTCTCTATACTTTTATAGTTCCTCTATACTTTTATAGTTTTTCAATACTTTTATAGTTCTTCTATACTTTTATAGTTTTTCTATACTTTTATAGTTTTTCAATACTTTTATAGTTCTTCTATACTTTTATAGTTTTTCTATACTTTTATAGTTTTTCAATACTTTTATAGTTTTTCTATACTTTTATAGTTTTTCAATACTTTTATAGTTTTTCTATATGTTGTATAGGAAGAAAGAGGTATTATAGAATAGTTCTTCACGTCAGAATATCTATAAGTATAACAGGACCGTTCTAAATCTTCACACAGCATATTAACTATCTTTGTTAGACAATACATCATGTTCGCATTACAATTTCACTTAAAAAATTCCAAACACAATATTGTAAAAAAATCTCACGAGGATTAAAATATAGATTTTGATTTAATGTTGTTGTTTTTTAGTAAAATAGGAAATTTACTGTAATTTTAAAATAAATATAAAACCCAAATAAACAGAACGCCTCATAATTCTGTAACTTTACTTGAACTTTCCCAACAGTGAATCTGCCAGCATTGCACCAAAAACAGGAGTGAAGTAACAAGCCATAGAAAAAACGTGATAAATCATGGTGGCCATGTCATCATCGTACAAAAGAATGGTGGTCAGGTACAGTGTCAAGACAGCTGAAACAAAACGAATACAATTTAAATACCACTGAATCAAAACAGCAAAAACTGTGCCATCATGCTCAAAGTAACTTCACAGTTGCTTTGTTAACACCACAAAACTAAAGAAAACATGTAACGTTAACGTCTTTTGATGTAATTTAACAAATAGTGTTAAATATTTAAAGTAACATAAGATAATTAGCACCGCCATCTTTAGAGTAACTTAAGAGATAGCGTTAACATCTTTAAAGTAATTTAAAAGATAGTGTTAAATATTTAAAGTAATATAAGATATACAGCATTAAGAACTTTAAAATAATTTACTATAGAAACGGTGATAACATCACTGAAACAATAGAACAGATACTGTGTTAACATTTATCAAGAAACTTAATAGATGAAGCGTTAACACAACCGGAAAAAAAACTAATACTTTAACAGTAATAAAACCAGCGATGATCAAGGTATTTTTTGTTGATGTTTTGTTCGTTACTATTATTAAAATTTTGATTTTGATTATTGTTAAACATACAGCTTAATTGAACAATAGAAATTCATAAATTTGATGTTTCGTAATCTTTGTCACAGCAATGTAAAAATAATATTCTAAAGCAGTTCATAACGTTTATTATCGCAGCAATATAAAAATCGTATACTAAAACAGTGTACAGCCTTTTTTTCTCATATCAATGTAAAAATAACATTATAAAGCAGTGCACAACGTTTATTATCAACTAAAATAAATATTAGTCTTTAATTTATATAATAGTTAAACGAAAAACGGTACGATTGAGGGGTTTGAACACTAAAATTCGGGTTTCAATCCTCTCGACAGACATAGAATATATAGTCTGTTGTTCAATTTTGCATTAAAACAGCAAGAAATTTTAAGAAAAGTTTATTTTTGAGTTAGAACAAATAATAAAATACACTGAACTCCCGATATTTCTTTTTCAATAATGCTCAAAATTAATGTTCCCCCAATGGCACAGTGGTATGAATGCGGACTTATAAAGCTAGAAACCGAGTTTCGATACTTATGGTGGACAGAGCACAGATAGCCCTTTGTGTAGCTTTGTGCTTAATAACAAAAATTCAAAAGTAATGCTAAAATTCTATTTATAATATTGGGATTACGGCCGAAAACGTCCGTAACAGCAAGAGTGTCCAGCTTACGATTCAACGCCCTCTAATCGTTATAGGTTTCAGTGTTCCTTTTGTATCGATATCGGACAATTGTGTTGTTTTAGTCAACTTTGTACAATAAATCAACTTCATTAATTTAACTGATAAGTTGTGTTTTTGTTCTTATCAATTTAGTTAGCTTACTTTGGATCAGAAGTTGAATATTTATATATCAACGTGTACATACATACACACACATACAAAAGGGGGACAAATTTCATGCAGAACAGAGTTTGTTGAGATTCAAAATAAATCCTCAGTGGGATAAAACTGATAGTCTTCCTCACAGTTCCGAAATAATTGAAACTTATTTCAATACCATTAGTATTTTGTAAACTATAAATAGGCCTAATCTGTCGTATTTTCTCTTAGATAGAAATTTATCCTTTCTCACTTTTGGACGCACCCTATTGGCCATTTCCAACAATACTATTGCAAATAACAGCTTCTTAGTTTATTTTTCTGGTCAGCAGGCAAACAATGAAAAAAATATGTTATTCATACTAAATACCTTTCCATGATGTTTCTAACACAGAAATATATCTTATTCATACTTAATAACTTTTCATGATGTTTCTAACACAGAAATATATCTTATTCATACTAAATACCTTTCCATGATGTTTCTAACACAGAAATATATCTTATTCATACTTAATAACTTTTCACGACGTTCTTGATACTGACATTGATTGTATTTAGTTAAAGTTCGTGATGAAAATCTGTTAGTATTATTACTACTTGAGTATTCAGGTATTACCCATATACATCAGGTAATACCTGCATACTCAAGTAGTGTTATTTTGTCGAACAACAACGAGAAATTATATTTTTTCCGTCTTAAGGCAGCACAAGAAACTCCGTGACGTATTATCATATGTTTTCTACTAGAGATGAGTTTGGACTTTTAGGACCGAGTCTGCCCAGCTTTCTGAGCTTCAGGTCCGAGGAATAGGAAACCGAGTCCTAACACAAGTATATGTTTTATGTTAGGTCCAGCTCAAGTTCAAATATATTCATACCAAGGTCCACACGGACTTGGCACTGTACGACTCATCTATATTTTCTACCATTTGTGTTCCTCATTCGCCACTAGATGTCAGTAAATCAATGCACAACAGTAAAAAAGTCCATAAGCAGTTATAATTATTTAGATATCATGTGTGGCGCATAACAGCTTGAATATATACTAAATAAACAAGGAGGAAAGGCAGAATGTTTAACTATTTCAACAGATCAAATATTTCAACCACCGTTCCAATTAATTCACTTGGTGTTGGGACTTCTCAAGAAAATTGGTCACAATGAATACTTGTAGATCAACTTTTTGTGGTTTGATTGGCCTGTTTCAGACTTTGTTGCAAGCTAGGAGCTCGTACAGGTATATATTACACGTTAAAAATTTCAAACTCGACTAATGATTACACTAGTATGATAATAGCGTTAAAGTTTCAGACAAAAATATCAAATAAGGTTAGTTGTGCTCTCTGCAGAACAAACAAAACAAACATACAGAACAACACTACGATTAAAATATTTTACTAATAAGAGTTCTTAGTTACATGCATTAGTGAACATGCTTCACGAGCAAGAATTTCGTGGTTCAGTGACTATCAGTTCTTCTAGCAATCATCTCAAAAAACACAACCCTTTTATACTAGTTTGTACTTAAAACATTCAGGTTGTTACAGGAAGCAAATCCCGCTCGAGATACTAGGTGGCATTACAGTACCGTTAAATTTTTCTTATTCTTCTATAATATTTTTTCACTCGTGAGATATGCTATTAAGGTTCAGATACTATTTTGAACCATCCTTTATATTCCTTATTCCCTTATTCGCCACTAGATGGCAGTAAAGTATAGCACAAGAATAAATCGCTTCAGAGGTCACAGTCGGATTAAATGCTCATTTTTCTAATAATGATTTAATAGTACAATGCAAACATTAGCTCTGTAACAATTCAGTATTTTTTTCATTATAAAGTTTATATACATATATATATATAATTATTTCAACCACGCGAGTTTCAAATAGTTTAACTCATTTAAATTTTATTTAACTCCATGCAGTTGTGTAATTTGACCCACGTAGTTGCAATTATCAAACTCAAGTAGATGAGTTAATTCACTTAATCAAAGAAGTAAAATAATTTAACTCACGTAGCTGAATTAAAGTTATTTAGCCAACGTTCTTGAATTTATTTACCCAACCCCCCAATATTTAAAGTTATTAAACTCAAGTAGATGAATTTAGTTTATTTAACTCACGTAGTTGAGCTTATTTAACTCCACGTAGATCAAGTTAAATATATATACTCCTTTTAGTTGAAGTTAAGCTCGCGTACTTGAGCTTATTTAACCCCACGTGAATCAAGTTATATATATTCCTTTTAGTTGCAGTTATGCTCACGTAATTGAGCTTATTAAACCCATCTAACTGTACTTATTTAACACCACGTTGTTGAGGTTATTTAGCACACGAAAATGAGTTACTTTAGCCCCGGTAGTTAAAACCATTTAACTCATACATTGAGGTAATTTCACCTAATATAATTAAACGATTTTGTAAAACAACATTTGTGATCGAACAGATATGCGACTTATCATACACAAGTTTTCAATATCATGGATAAAGAGGACACTTAAATCGACTTTATTTTATTTTTTAATTGTATAGCTAATTGGCTAATATATTTTAATATAGCTAATGGGCTAATCTATTTAAATATAGCTAATAAGCTAATCTATTTTAATATAGCTAATGGGCTAATCTATTTTAATAAGATAAAGTATATTGTCTAACAAGAACATTTTGCCAAATTTTTCTAAGATCGGATTAATAGTGCATCACAAGAATTTTGTTATCTTTCGGTAATTTTGTTTAACTTAATCAAGTTTTATAAATTTCATAACGAATAAAGTAATGTAACAAGTAGATTTTCGAGTTAGAACAACCCGCCAAATAAAACTGGTTATTAAAAAAACCAAAAACAAAAAAACGGTGACCTATTTATCAGCTTATTTTCACGGGGTTCTTTGAACACCATGCTGAAGAATGGCTGGGTGTGTTAACGTTTCAGCGTGTACGTTAGTTCCACTTTTTCTGGGTAGCTTGCATTCATCAAAAGTTAATAATTTTGTAAGTTGCTTTTGAGCTTGAGTTAGAATGACCATTAGTCATTTACAGGGCATTTTGAGTAGTTTTTCGGCCAATTAGCTTCGAACATTTTTTTTTCTTAATAAATAAAAAAAATATATTTTTTCGGGACAGTGGTTCATCGCTAAGTCTGATGGCTTACAACGCTAAAAATCTGGTTTCGATACCCGTGTTGGGCAAAGCACAGATAGTCTGTTACGTAGCTTTATGCTAAATAACAATTAGACTACACGAACAAACCCATTCAACCGTAGGGAGTTTTATACAGTAACAATCAATCCCACTATTCGTTTGTAAAGAGTAGCCCAATAGTTGGCGGTAGGTGTTGGTGACTAGCTGCTCTACCCTTCGAAATCTGGGACAGCTAGAGCAAATAGCCCTCGAGTAACTTTGCGCGAAATCCTACAAAACAAACATAATCTGGGAATTCCCCCTTAAACTGATCGTTCAATTAGATACGCTCGGCTTTAATATGACAGTTTGTCTACAAGGGAAACATCGAGTTCAGCTTAACAGATTTCCAGTATCGTTGTCCTCATCTCGGAATTAAACTCTACAGAGACGACAGACCCTAGAAGGGGGAATTAAATGTTCATTTATCTATATTTGAAGTACATAAGTTAAGTCTACTTTTCACAGTTTTTATAGAATACCAGACGTCTTTTGTCAACACTCCATGTTTTAAAGCACATTCTAGTTTGACATATCTGTATATCTCAGCATGGGGATTTAGGTCTTGAAGACCTGGGAGGGTCACATTCTAGTTGACATATCTGTATATCTCAGCATGGGGATTTAGGTCTTGAAGACCTGGGAGGGTCACATTCTAGTTGACCTTTCTGTATAATATATATCTCTCAGCCAAGGGAATTAGGTCTTGAAGGAGGGTCAGGCTAGAAATGAACTTTTCCACCAATCTGTATATCTAAACAACGTCTGTTTGTTTTAGAAATTTCGTGCCAAATTACACAAGATAGTGTTTTTTGTTGCTACGGAAAACGAACAGTTGGTCTTCATATTCACATATTCGACGATTTGGTTTGACTTTGGTTTGTTTTAAATTTCGTGCAAAGCTACACGAGTGCTATCTACGCTAGCAGTGAAAGACCACAAAGAAGGC